ACCAAGCTACATAATAAAAAAAACATAATAATAAAATAAAATAATACTAATATAATAATAAAAATAATATAATGATAATAATAATGATAATAATAATAATAATAATAAAATAATAATGATATAATAATAATAGTAATATCATAATAATAATAATATTATAATCATAATCTTTATTTAGCAATAATCTCCATAAAATCCTCTACAATAAAAACTTTTAACAGCAGAAAAAACGATCCAAAATAACTCACTTTCGGCTCACATCTACTCCTTTCTTTTAATGTCAAAGTGTCTGGAAAACTATAAATAACGGAGTCAAATCTGAACAGATTCAAAGTCTAATAATCTGATAGGTAAAAGCATATCTAATAATATATAATAACAATATCAATATAGTAATATTAATAATCAGTTTAATTACTCTTTTTGTAGTTTACGGCTAAATCACAAGAGTGGTTGGGATACAAATCATCTATACAAATCATCTATGTGGACTAAACGATTCATTAAGTTTACCTACATCTAGAAGCAGTTTTAGACGCAGTTAGAAACACAAGATTTCATAGGAAGGGAACTTCCCGTCATGTATTTTTTGCCGTTACCATCAATTTATTATTAAAAAAGTAGAAGAGTATTCCTGCTAATTCGGCCGATGTCAAAAGCGATGTTCAGGCACATACATTATACACATAGGATACGCGGCAAGAGGGTGCCGTCGAAAATAGGTGATCTTAGTAAAGGCAATCATTTATGCGCTCACGTTACGTGTTTTCGGTGTTCCGATATTCAATTGAAACAGAGTTTTGGTCGTTATTTAGTAACAATAAAACTGTTTATCCTTTCTTTTCACAAAGTTGCGTTTTCATTGGACAGCCAATTAATTCATCACTACTCCATAATTTTTAAATGCCGTTAATGAAGGTAGCAAAAACTAGTTTTTTCTCACCGTCCCCACAGCCGCAGGGAATTCGAAAGCACCATTCCTAGTCTACATTTTTGGTTCATTTCGCGCTAGAACAAGGAATACACTTGTTGTTTGTGCACTTGGCGGTGTGAATTTAGAATGAGAAATACTATTTAATTTGTAATTTATTTATTTATTTATACACGGTGAAAAATTCATCAGGTGCAATAAATTATAATACAATGACTAACATCGTAAGACCTAAAAATCCTAATCCTAACATTATATTAACTTGTACTATGCCATTTGAAAAAAACCTGATTTCCACGACTGCCTTGTTAAAAAATTTTTATAGAGCAGGCGTTTAAATTGATTCAATGAACCAGACTCTCCAATGTTACAGGGCAAGCTGTTCCAAAGGGTTGCGCCTTTGTAACTAAAACTCATTTTTCATCTAATAAGTTCTTTGAAAGGGAACAACAAGTTTGCTTACCGCGACTATCAGAGAATAGGTTGATTCATTTCGCTTTATAAGTTTAGACGTGAGATAGTCGGGAACCAGCTCGTTTAAAGACTTCAAAACCATTAAGGCGTGCTGAGTTTAATGTGGATATTTCAAGTCTTTCCAGCTGAGTTTGTGAAACAAAGAATCACATCTACGTCAGAGTTTGACGAAGTCATTACTCGTGCAGCACAGTTTTTACTTACTTTTGTTGTTAATGCATTTCGCGCAGTGCTTTTATAACGACGAATACTCTTGTTGGTGCACTTTGCGCGTGATCCGCTCGAATGGTACGAGTCAACACACAAGGCATGACCAGAGAGACTCCAAGTCAGATTCACAAATAGACCGGCACGGATCGTTTGGATCTTACGGTTCGCACGGATCGTACGGATCGTACGGACTGTAAGGATCGTACGGATCGCACAGATCGTACGGATCGCACAGATCGTACGGATCGCACAGATCGTACGGATATGGTGATCTTCAATACATTAGACAATCTGTTAAGAGCTGTGGAATTGGACATGCATGGATCAGATTCATTTAGCGATGGCCAATTTCAGAAATGAACTAGGACCAATTACTAGAGATGTTACCTGTGCCTAACAGTTTCTTAAACTTCTGAAAACACGTATAAAATTAATCCTTGATTTTAGTTGGCCTCATGCAAATGTCTAGACATAATATAAAGCTGCAGACAACCACCTGTATGCAAAGGACATGTCAAAGGTGTATCGAATACATACGAAGGAGAGAAAAAAGATGAAAAACAAAACAAGGAAGAGCTAAAGATAGACTTTGGTTCTGATGAGCTTTGTTCTGTCGGTATCGTTAACGTGTCCTTGTAGATATGGCTAAATCAATTTTCTATACTGTGTTCAGGGCTAAAAGAATCAGCACTGCTAAATTTATACCATTATTGCTCGTACTTGTTATATCGGAATGAAGGTATTGTTTGAAACAAAAAAACAAAAATATGGTAAGAACTATGAAGAAAGATAACCTTCCTCATAATATATACTCGAAGTAATTTTGTATTATTAAGAGAGCTAAATGGTCTTTTTCAAAGAGCAATTAAAGCATGTGATTTGCTATAGTTTGACAGCATTGCATGATCCAGCGGGTTGGAAATAATCATCTGCGTAGAAAGGAAAGGCTTCGTCTGAGATTCATTGCAGATGAAGAGAGTGTAATCTGCAGTTTATATTCTCTTGGTGCAGATTGCATCTCGAAGGAATTCACGTGCTGCATAAGCAATATTTAATTGAAACTAGTTGTAATCCAACTTCAAAGCTTGTTTAGCTCGAAAACATTCTTTCGCCTATGTTGATTTGAGTCTTCTCGTCAAATATCTCTGATTTCTCGTAATTGGGTTGTTTTTGTATTCTTTTTTTGTAGTAACTTGTCCTATAACCAACTGGAACAGCTTCCTCCAAGAGCTTTCTATGAAAATAACAGGCTTGTAGAGCTGTAAGTAGAACGGTTAATACAGCTGTTAGAAGGCTACTGTTCCCACGACTCTCCTAAACGAAACACTGTGTTGTGATGTGTGTGAAAACTATATGGCCTTGTCTCATAAGGAATGGATATCCCTCAACTGAAGTAAATGATTGGCTGAAATCGATACTAATTATAAGCCATAGAGACATTCTAGATCGATCACGGTTTGTAAAATTTATTCTTGTAAGTAACATAGAAAAAAATATGGGAAAAAAAAGAGCCATTTAGTTTCAGAGATCTTAGCCTAATTCGAAGGCACCAACATAAGCTCATTTCAATTTGAAAACCAAGTCAATGTTTCCACTAAAACGTAAACATGTCTTCACAGTTTAACAAATGCAACCTGGGGCAATTCTGTCTGAAGCGCTTATTCAAAAGTTAAATGCCGTAAACTCAGCATAGACATTTTCTGAGATGATCAGCCAAAGGCTGAATGAGAATTGATAGCTGGTCGATCGACGCACAAACAGGCACTAAAAGTTCGTGGCTTCTATCATTCCGGTTACTTTTCATAAATTTGTTGTTATTGGTCACGTTGACGGTTGACGGTTAAAAATAAGCCCTTTTGACGGTTGACGGTTAAATTTCAGGTCATTTGACGGTTGGCGGTTAATTTTTTGGAATGTCCTTTTATCAAACGAACTAAACGAGCGAATTTGGCTGTAAATTTTCATAATGACGCGTTTGTAAAGAACTGTTAACTTATAACACCTTTTATCAACAAATGGAAGTCAGTTCTGCCGCAAACCAGTTTTACTCGCGACTAGAAGATAAAGGACTTGTATTAATGTAATCTTGTGATACATCAAAACTTTTATCTATAAACAAGAGAGTTTGACCCCAGTTAAAGTAATCCTTTAGTTCTTAATTAAGGACATCTGAGACATATGAAAGCTAACATTGGCTTGTTTATTTGACGGTTGAATGTAAAGATATTGCGTTTTTGACGGTTGAAGGTTAGTATTTTGGCCATTTGGCGGTTAACGGTTAACCCCATTGAGACCCTCTCTTGACCTTATGCACTGATACAGATATCATTATATTTGTTCTGTATTAGTGACCTTGATTCCACAAAGAGGAGACTCCCACCGCTTAACAATAACTTAACACCGACTTACCTGTGACTCTTGATTTTGGGTTCAAGGAATCACGTTTAAGTTAGTTGACCCTCATGTAGGTGCCAGCTTTTGACAGCCCTGTACAGTTTCAAGATTTTTTCAGTTAGTAACTTTTTCTTTGCTCATCCGGGTTTTACCTCACACCACCATCAGTTATGTGGCACAGAGAAGACAATCTCAGAATTCAGTTGGATAGAAAGATCTAGAGGCTTGACATTTTATCAATTCTATATCGTGTCCGAGCCAGAGGATGCTTGTTCGGACGTTAGCAGGTGCAGCGGGGATCTTTTCAAAATTTATCACCAACACTAATATAGAGACCTTTCTCCGGCAAAACTACTTATATATTGCGCTTTAGTACAGTTGACTTTACTCAGGCCAGTTTAGGGCCAGATAAACTATAGCCCTTCCTAACCTGCTTTATTAATCGAAAATCGGACTTTTGAAAATGTAATTGCCAATCACAATCGAACATCTCAATTGCTGTTTTAATGCAACATATTCATGCGGCAACGGTATTCATAAGGAGAGAGGATTAAGAGCTGGTATGGTCTCTTTAAAGTGCTACTGCGACGAAATTTTTGCATTTTATTTTCCCAGTTTTCTGGTGTTAAGTTCACATTTAGACCCTAAACTATTAGAAAGTGTAAGTTTCTCAAATTTGACAACGTTATTCCTTACAAACAGCGCCGTAAAGACATTCAAAATTCTTCCGCCATTGCTCGAATAACACACTGGAGAGCTCGCGAAAATAACTACAGCGGTTTTAGTTGTGACGTCATCGACTCACTACGACAACGTCGCGAAGGCATGCGTTTACAAGAAATTGGCAAAAGAAAGCTGGGAAACAATTCTTTTGAATTTTATTCCTTCTTTCCTGCGGAACCAGAAAAACAACTCTCTCTCGGCAATCTAAATTAGCAACGTTTGTTGAGTCGTTGACGTCACTTCTGTTCTCGACCCAGTTTCTTCTTCTTCGCGCGAAGTTCTGTAGTTCGAAGAATGGCAGCCGTTTAGATCGCGAATCTACAGGGAAAATAATATTACTTCTCGATGAAGTTTTGCCTTAAGATTTGGCAAATTTGTTACTTAGGTAAGTACTTTCAACCTCTGAGGAGAAAAGAGAAGGTGCATTTTTGGTCGCAGTAGCACTTTAAGGATAAAACTGTTATTTAACTTCCTTTTGAGTTTTGTGTGCAGTTAGGCACCCAAGATCGAAGGATGCCAAAAAAAGAAAAAAAAACACCTTTTTAAAATTCACGTCTCTCCTGTTTCCATGCTTTCAATTAATATTTTTTCATGACCGTGGGCCTATTTTTCACTGAAACTCGCGCAGTAGTTACCTTTTACATTTACATTTACATTTATACATTTATATATAGCGCAGACTTCTATGTAGTTATATTCAGTCGCGCTTAAAAGTATTGTAAGATTGAGATCGGACGTCAGCATTTTGGGGCTTTGAGCGCTA